ACAAAACATCTGTTTTTTACTATTTTTAGCAGTTCTAGCAATTTGTGACCTATTTTCTTCAGATTCAATCCATTGTTTATTGCCTTCTTTGTTCAAAATAGTAAAAAAATACATCTATGATTCATCACCCATAATTATATTTTGGTAACTATTTTTTAAAATTTTTAAAAGTTCTTTAGAAATTCTAACTCATTCTTGCTTATTTTTTTACTTAACTTATACAGAACCCATTTTGCACAAATTTTTTTCATATTGAGCTCTTCATTAAGAATATAACTAACTCGTTCAAGAGAAATATCTAAAAGGTCAGCCAATCCTCTAATAGTAATATGAAGGTCATCGGAGACCAATTCTTTAACTTTAGCAATAGTTTCTGGTGTGGTGACTTCGTGAGGACACCCAGAACAAGGCTTGTCTTCAACATCCTCATCTCCAGCTTTAAATGCAGCAATCCAATGATCAACAGTACGTAATGATACTGCCTGATCTCCTTCACCAATTACTAGTTCAGCATGAATTTCTGTTGATGTTTTATTGTTTTTCCATCGAATGAGAGTATAATAATGTTGATATTGTCGACTTAATTTTACTTCAATATTTTTAGAGGACAAATATTAAAAAAAATTTTTTTCCGATTTTACTATATAATAATATATTAAACTCAATGAGGTAATTCATAATAAGTCATGCTTATGAATGTATTAATTATTCATTTATAGCTATGATCTGCACAGAGATCTGACCTCACTGACAAGACTTTTCATACAGCCTATGTAGAAGTGGTGGTAATTTTTTGTATAGCTTGATGAAAGCTGAGACCAGAAATGCTATTATTTTTTGCAACTGCTCTAAGGTAGGCCCTGTAGTAGCTATAAAAATAGAATCCTTTCTTGCAATCATCAGTTTCTACTTCATTATCTTTAGTGAACTGTTCTTTGATATTTGTAACAAGTTTGTATAGAAGATTAGTAGGTGTTGGGTTTTGAAAGATAGCAGGTTATTTGTTATCTGCATTAAATATAGAAAAATCTAGAGTAGGATGTTTTAATTTTGGTTTAGAAGGTAAATCAGTAGTAGAGGTTGAGAGAAGTTTGTCAAAAGATTTGGTAATAAAGAGAAATGCTAAATTTTTAAAGTTGTGTTCTGTATTGTTCAGTAAAGTTTGACATGGGTTGTCTTTATTATATGTACAGATATGTATATGATAGAGTGCTGCCTTAGTGCAAAGAGTAATATGTTCTCTATATAAGGAAATAGAGTGGATGGTGAAAGTTTTGGGAAGGAAGCTTTTGCAGATATTTGCGAGCTTAGTTGCAATCTGGTACTTAAGAAAATTGTAAGTTTTCTTTTCATCTATTTTGAAGAATTGATATTGATAAACTTTGAAGAAGGCTTCAAACCAAGTATCGAAGTTGGTTATATGTGGTTTAAGAGATGGAATATGAAAGTTATTTAAGAACTGTGTTTTGGGTATGTTGAAGGAGACATTAATATTGAACTTATTATCATTTTGAATTTTAAATAAAGGTTAGTTTTGTATATCAATGGAAGTGAAATAGTGGAGATTGAAACAAATAGGGCGA